TTTATTTAATTTACTATGAACTTTTTTTTCTGTAAAATATGTTTGTTTCAGAGACTAGTTGTTAGACAACTGTGTGTTCTGCCTGACTGAGTAGTATTCTGCCTGATCTATTTTGGGTTCAATTTGCTTTTAAAATGAATCAAACTTTTTCATTTATGAATGTAATTTACTTTTTTGATCACAAGCGCCAGGTGTTGCTAGGTTGGATTACGTCTGCTGACTATGTGGAACAAGAGTGAGTGAGTGAGTGAGTTTAGTTTGACACCGTTTTTAGCAATATTCCAGCAATATCACGGCAGGGGACACCAGAAATGGGCTTCACACAATGTGCCCATGTCGGGAATCGAACCCGGGTCTTCGGCGTGACGAGTGAACGCCTTAACCACTAGGCTACCCCACCGCCCCCGTGGAACAAGAGGGCAGTTGTAGTGAATCTGATCTAAGAGCTGTTTGAGTGCCCATTGTTTTCCTGTTTTCATATTCCATTGCCAAGTCCAACTTTTTAAACCTGTGATCCAGAGTACAGTCATCTAATGCACTGCAGCTGTCTGTGTTTAGCTATGTCACATCGATGTTCCTGAATCCAGTCATTGTGGGTTCAAATCCCAGATTCACTTTCATTATGAATCTGGGTTTGTCTGCACCAAAACCACATTTAAAGCATGAATCACTTCATACATTGACCCAGGTCTGAAATATGTTTTAATGATAAGTATTAATGATGTTACACATAACATCACCGACTAATCACAGACACAAATAAAGGAACTCAGTGTTTTAAAGCAAGACCTTGTCATTACTGGATGATGTCTGAACGTTTAGGGAATCCGGAGATCCTCCAGTACTATAGCACCAACCTCTGGGCCCCAGTAGCCCGTACATGTCAAACACTGCTGCTGTCAGTTCACCCGAGTGAGATACTAGACTGTTTGTTTAACATAACATCCACTCACAATGACAACTTAATAAGGCACCTTAGCCCAGCAAGGTCAACGAATTTGGGATATACTGGAATGTCTGTCAGTAGTAGAAGTCTGGAGTCAGACTTTTATAACTGTGTGTAGTTCTTGTGAAGAGCATACTGGGATAAGGTCAGTTTTATGCTTGTCTGATGTAACACTTCCCCAGTTCTGATAGTCATGATTTCCCAGGATTTGTCCTGAACATATGCAACTCTGCAATAAGAGTACATTGCACTGCCAGGAATTATGGAAAGCCTGTGGTCTCAGTAGTATACTTGTATACTTAGCTGTACAGAGTTACATCCGAGGATCTGATGGTTGTCAGTTTAGATTGTAGATTGTCTTTCATGGTGCATGGTGTAAATCAGAGCTCCATGGAGAACTGTCTGCCTTAACCACTAGGCTTGTTGTTGGATCAGTTCCTAGATTACCTGTCATGGTGCATGGGTTCCCTGTTGTCCGTGGGGGAGCAGTTCTCCATGTAGAGCTACTTACCTTCTCACCCGTGAAGGTCCTGGTTAGAATTGATCTTCAGTAACCCATGCTTGTTGTAAGAGGCGACTAACGGGAACGGGTGGTCAGGCTCGCTGGTTTGGTTGACACATGTCATCAGTTCCCAATTGCGCAGATCGACGCTAATGCTGTTGATCACTGGATTGTCTGGTCCAGACTCGATTATTTACAGACCGCCACCGTATATCTGGAATATTGCAGAGTGCGGCGTAAAACTAAACTCACTCACTCACTCACTTACCTTCTGCTGTGCCACTATCTGTTGGTTGTGGGTTTGTTGTACCGTGTAGCTCTGATTATGATCCCCTGTTTGTTGAGGTTCATGGTATTACCATTCTGTAAAACATCTACAAGGTTGGTTTTGTTATAACAAAGTTAAAGTAAAGTGATAATACAAGTTCAAAACAACTTTATACTTCTCACTAACTCATTCACATACTTATTAAATTATGTATTTGCCATCTTCTCCTTCAGATGTTTGTAGAGCCTGTCCACAAGATTCACCTGTGGGTAGATTTGTCATTATTGTAAAGAAATGTATAACAATAAGTTTCGATTTGATGACTTCGAAAATTAATTGATTGTTTCAGAAACGGGACATATACAAAATTATGTCTGTGAATGTTATGTGTTTCTCTAATTTGCCTTATATTTATAATTTGCCATATGTCGACAGCAGTAAGAATGACCACCATCTCTGTATTGTTTTAGTCTCTGGAATATGGAACATTTCCCTATACAGCGCAGGCAGAATATGCATTGGCTAAACTCAAATAGTTCTGTGAAATGTTATTTTCCCGCTTATTCTGACAGACATGTTAAAGTGCAGTACTATAATTCAGTTATAATTGGATTCAGTGAATCAGAGTTGTGGCATGGATGAGTTCTAAGAGGAAGCAGTAATTTAGAGATCAGGTAATCCACAAGTGATTGCATCATGAATATTCCACCCTTGAGCTCCACTCATCACACAGAGCAAGATGTAAGGGCTGAGATGACCTTAGACTCACCCTGTAGTCTCTGAATATGTATAAATTTGATGGAAACAAGGTACTCCATTAAAGTTGAAAGGAAGGTCCTGTGAGAGGGGAGATTCTGAACCTGAGGAGGGACTGTGGGACAGACCTGAGATGACCTGTACGAGGTTCAGGCCCAGGCTCGGCTGCCTCTAGGACTGATGAGCCAGGAGTGAAGCTGGGTTCTATTGATTTATGACGTTCTTCCACAGCCATCACACTGACCACAAGTTTACTGGCCATTGTTTCTGACCGGTCACAAGTCATCTGGACGTCTGATGTCAGGCTGGTGGTTGTGGCTTGGTGTCTGACACATGTCTGTAGCTCTTCTTCACAGGAGATACATATAATGTGTGAACTGAATTCTATGGCGACAGAGCAATCTCATGGAGGATTATGAAACGGTGACTTTGTGACCATGTTTTAGAGACCAACATATCCTGCCAGTGTACTTCTACAGGACCCTGGGACGTCTGGGTGGCTATAAGAGTTTATGTAGACTAACACTTAGTCTCTGACTGTGAGACAGACTAGAGTTTTTGATGTGTGGTATTTCCAAACATATTGATTCTAGAGGAATTTATTTGACACTGTAATGTGAAAGCTCCATTGTCAGCTTGTAAGGGCTGGCTTTCTGATTGTTGGACAGTTTTCGATCTTCAACATCTTGTATGTTACTTATTGCCTGGAACTGGTGTGGAGAATTCATCATCTGGGTTTTACTGGACATTTGTCGGAACACAGGCAAAACACATCGTTCTGAAGTAAGGTTTGTCCACTGATGTCTGTAGTGGGCCTTATTGAAACAAGTCAACCATAGGTTCATGTGGCAGAGGTATTAACTGCCATTGGCTTAGTGTGTTGATGGTTTGAACATTGACAGCAGTTCAATAACAGCACCCTAGCTGAGAACTGGAGGAGATAATTCATCCATGTGCTGGCTCCCGGGGAGATTATTGGTACTTGTGCTGGCTCCAGAGCAGATAATTGGTGCTGGCTCCAGACTACCAGCACATACGGGGCAGTGATGCTGGAAACGTTTAACAAGGAAACACCAATACAAGATCAGTTCCGATACAATCAGTTCGACACAACATATGGGGGATTCCGACGTTGGATTTAATCTGTGACTTCTTTATTGGAGAGTGCTTGTGACCTTGATATCATAATCATTGCTCGTGAAGGATTCCATTACACTGAGTGCATATTGGATAACTCTCAAACACATTTATTGAATTCTTCAATAAGCAGATACACTGGAAACTGGAACATACATTGTACATCTGGAGTGGGAGATTCAGTGGTGAGGATGTAGCTCTGTATCATGGCTGAGTGTCTGGGGATTGAACCACACAATTGGATGTGAGATTGGAAAGTATTTTCTCATCCTTGATTGAAGAAACTTAATAAGAGCAGCTTCAGAAGATCAAACTCAAGTACTGTGTTTGTATGGATTTGAACCCAGGAAAGTGTCACCAGTGGGCAGGGTGACTGGGAGGTCAGTGTGGTAATCTTGGAGATTAGATTCTATAAGATTGCGAAGTTGCACTGTTGTCTATCATAGGGTTGCCTCCCAAATGTTAAGCATAGGTCCTTCTCTGCCACATATGTTGGTGCATAGTGGGGATATTTGCCAGGGCAGCCATCACACAGCTTTTCCTTTCCATAGATTATTCAATAATCAGATCGGCCAATACACGTTCTGTTGAAGCTAGATGCTGCACTTTGGTTTGTCTTGCTGCCAGAAGAAATATTCATCGTCACTTTTGAAGATATTCTGGATGTAGACAGTCACATGACTTGAAGCAAATAGACAGGCTGGTAATTGAAGGTGAGATCGTGGTTACATACACCTAACTGGGAGTTCATGAGAGACAACTGCCAGGAACACAGATACCAGAGATGTCTGTGAACTGACAAGCTTTGTCTGTGATCTTGATGAACTTTGTGGATTGTATTATTGATCTGGTTCAGGAACATCAAAGACTTCTGTACATCTCGGTTTGATTGTGTGTATTTTTCTGTGATGAAGTTGACAAGTGATGATTGACCATTGACAGACGGTGTTTATTGAAGTCTCTCTGAATGAAAATATTGAATCTGGTGTAGAAGTCTGGATTAACAGCGAACAAAAAGTATTGACATTTAAGATTTTTGGATAATTGACACACTGACAGAAATATGTATAGAGATACTGAATGACATTTCAAGACATATTTAGAATTGTGAATGAGATTCATATGTATGCTGATGTGCTGTTTCTGTAGCAGTTCGTGAATATAATTAGACATTCTGCTAACATGATACTGCCGAGAAACAGTTTTGAATAAGTTGGACGTTTTCCTTTGTGGACTGTGAACCTTACGACCTGGTGACACCCAGTGAGAAACAACAAAGCCGACCACAGGCCAGCAATTATCCCATGATTCCTCTCCCTTGCCGTCTGCTTCTCACAGGTGCTTACAGTTACAAACATATGTTTGGTTAGCTGACTGAGTGCCAACAGCCAAAAATAAACCAGTATCACTCTTCAGCCTGGGAGATTGTTTTGTGTGAAGGAATTCTGAAGAAGATCGGAGGAGGCAGGCATCAGCATTTGTTTCTTGGAGGGGGATTCAAGCTGTGTTTTTGATTTTGTCAGATGACCATTGTGTTTGTTAGCTGGTGACATGTGAGTTCATGGTTCTAGTTGATGGCGTCATCTGCAGATTCGCCAAACACGCTTCGACAGCTGAGGGCAAAGGCGATTTGGCTGGGTGAGTCTCGAGGGTTGTTGGTTGCAGATGATTACATAGATGTGAGTAGTTACCATGTAGGTCAGGGAGTGATGATACTTGTTCCAGAATCAAATTTCCAGGCATCAGACTTTTTCATGACTTTCAACTTTGAAATACCTTGAACATTTTACTGTAAAAAAAGCAGAATATTATTCATGGTACATTTGTGTGAATGTTATTTACAGTTTTGTAAACATTATTTATGTATTTGCACAGCTGTCAAAATGTTTTGATATAGGATTCTGGCTGACATTGACTTTAGAAATCTATTTTAATTTCTTTTATTTGCCAGTAACACAGCTGACAGTACCATACACAGTGTAAATCATGTCACAAGTATAGTGTACACATTTTGTCCTGGACCAAGGCTTATTCTCTGAAAAGATATATTCTTTTAGAAACAAATAAGTCCATTTTTATTGAAAAGGTGCCTCACTGAGATGGGAGTAGTCTGTCTTACAGCTCCTGAACCACATTATTTTCCCTACTGCCTTGCCTCCCTGCAATGCTAAAGCCGTAAATGAAGCATCTAGGTTCTCTGGGGCCCCTGTTCAATTTAAATGGGTTTATTTGCTACTGTCAAAATTATTTATATTCAGGGACTAAGCATAAGTCTAAGATGGGAGGTTCAGAACCTGTAAATTATCTAATCTTGCTTCATTGATGGCGTTTGCAGTACAGAGGCTGGGAGACGGACAATGATGTGGTTCAGGGACTGTGAGATGGCTCATTTTCTGTAGGAGTACCTAGTTACAGCTGGTTTTGGTAAAATTGTCTTCCACAACAATACTAAAGCAGCTTCCTCCATGATGTATAACTATCAGATTACTCACTAGTGGCCTGTGGGAATTCAAGTGAAAGTCCACTGTGCAGGTTGATGGTTGTTAGGTGAATTACATGTCAACCGGTTTGACATTTATGTTTGTGTATTAACAGCAGATTATATTCATACTTAGTAGCACATGTGTGTAATTATTTTCAGAGAACTGCTACGTTTTGTAATGGGATAATTTCTGTATGTTGTGTTGTTAAAGTAATTTGTTAAATCACAATGAATTCTAATTTACATTTAAAAGTTATTTATTATCAATAATTGTGTTCATTTGAAAAACAGTTAAACCTTTTTTTTGTAATTTTTGACTGTTTTTATAAGATGTAATATTTTTGTTTGAGGTGAAAATTTGATACGTTTTGTAGATGAAATCATGATCCCCATTAATTACACCATTAATAGAATGACATCATATATTATGTGATCATATGCAAATATTTTTCTTAACTTTATTACTCTTACTGATGCAAACATCAACTAATTTGGTAAACTGTTGGTCTAGTCATTTTATGTCAAGCAAATCCAGGAAGAGAGTTACCTCCCTTAATCATGCCAGGATTCGCCAGTCAATGTTGAAATCCTAAATTTGTTTACACATGATCAGTTGTTACACCAAAGTGCTCTTTGCCTATTATATGTGTTCTCTCTACCAGAAGCTGATGTGATGCTGAGGTTGATGTCATGTTGATGCCTATGTGCTTATCAGCTTGACTCATAGTCTCTGCTGTGACAATTAGTCTGTCTCACAGTCCCTGAACCGGACCGCATTAGTTTCTCAACTGCCTAGCCCTCCCTGCAATGCTTAAGCCCTGAATGAAGCAAGTCTAGATTTCACTGTCTCAGTTGTGACACTATGTGAACCTTATAGACTGGTCAACTCTTGGGTATGGTTGTCGTGAAAGGCAGCTTAGTATAACGGGTGATGAGACTTTGTGACCTGGTTGATTAGCCTGGCTGTGTTACATGTTACTCATGATACCAATCACTGGTTCGTCTAGGTCAGACTTGATAATACACAGCTATCATATAACTGGAATATTGCTGAGTGCTGCGTGAAACATCAAGCCAATAAGAACTGGTTGTATACATGCTCTCAGCTGTCAACATTTTTTTGAGTGGTATGTCCCCTGAAAAATATTGTTGATGTGAGTCTGAGAGTGTTCTAGTGAAAGGCATTCCACAGTACATGTCTGCCAGTCTTGTGATCATCCATCTATAACAGCTGTCACTGTGGGTGATATACGTGCTTATCACCGGTCGTGCTTGAAGCAGCAGCAGTCACTACCTTGACACCAACACCCAGCTGAGCAGCTACATCTCATAACAGTATCTTACTTTTATTTGAAAAGATTTTGAATATTTGAAATTCCAACCAGTCTGTGTAATGTTTGGTAATGTGACTAAGATTTATACATGACTTGATACCCCGTACTGGAATATCTATAGGTGTTCACAACTTGCCTTGTTTAGTTTCAAGCAGTTTTCATTTAATGATTAATCACTAACATTATGTCCACTTTAGTTAAGTGTATTAATAACTTGTTAATATGGTTATTATCAATAGCTTTCTTTTGAATTATGATTTTGACTTAAATGCCAATATCTTCAATGATGATATCAGAATTGGCCATCGATGATAAATGTTTTGAAGACTGATGAACACAGAATGTGATTAATATTTTTTTTACGGTTCTTGTAGAAATATAAGCTGACTAGTGATCAGTAAGTGGAATTTCCTGTGATCCGGTGAATGTATATGTTAGATGTTAGTCATGTTGCAGGCAGGTTCTAGACTAAACGTCTGTGAGACCCACCCTAAACAACATGGTCTCATCAGGCTCCTGGTGCAAGGGGCTGGAGCTGCGTGGCCATCGTTAACATTTATATGTGAAGGTTCTCTGCATGGTGCTTTGATCAGGGATGTTCTCTGCATGGTGCTTTGATCAGGGATGTTCTCTGCATGGTGCTTTGATCAGGGATGTTCTCTGCATGGTGCTTTGATCAGGGATGTTCTCTGCATGGTGCTTTGATCAGGGATATTCTTAGCACAACACTTTGATCAGGGATGTTCTTAGCACAACACTTTGATCAGGGATGTTCTTAGCACAACACTTTGATCAGGGATGTTCTTAGCACTACACTTTGATCAGGGATGTTCTTAGCACAACACTTTGATCAGGGATGTTCTTAGCACAACACTTTGATCAGGGATGTTCTTAGCACTACACACTTTGATCAGGGATGTTCTTAGCACAACACAAGGAGCAGCACAACACTAAGATCAGGGATGTTCTTAGCACAACACAAAGAGCAGCGATCTTTCTTAGCACAACACTTTGATTAGGGATGTTCTTAGCACAACACTGTAATGAAGGATGGTCTTAGCACAACACTGTAATCAAGAATGTTCTCTCCACAACAGCACAAAGCTGTTCCACTTTACCAGTACTAGCAATAGCAATAGTAGAAGCCTGATGAGTATAAGTGAACAGCTGGAAGTTATGAACACTCTCTTTAGGGTGTAGACTTGCATGCTTGTTCTATCACCAAGATGTGCCACAGGATGTTTCATCACCTTCGCTGAACTATTGCTGACCAGGTAGAGCCACACCTGGGTGGCAGAAGTGATGGTCAGTAGTCTGCTCAACAGGAACATGTGCCCAGGGTTTCCTCAGGAACATATACTGTCCTTATACCTGGAAGATATCTGAAGGAGCTGGTTGTGTATGAATGTCTGAACATGGCACAGAGGAATGGGATGCTTTTGAAACATGGTGGATTGTTTGGAAAATGATTCCACTCTGTTAGGTAGATTGTGTTGATCAGGTTGTGTGAGGTAGATTGTGTTAGACAGGTTGTGTTAGATGGGTTGTGTTAAGCAGATTGTGTTAGACAGGTTGTGTTAAGCAGATTGTGTTAGACGGGTTGTGTTAGATGGGTTGTGTTAAGCAGATTGTGTTAGACAGATTGTGTTAGACAGGTTGTGTTAAGCAGATTGTGTTAGACAGGTTGTGTTAGGCAGATTGTGTTAGACAGGTTGTGTTAGATGGGTTGTGTTAAGCAGGTTGTGTTAGATGGGTTGTGTTAGACGGGTTGTGTTAGATGGGTTGTGTTAAGCAGATTGTGTTAGACGGATTGTGTTAGACAGATTGTGTTAGACGGATTGTGTTAGGCAGATTGTGTTAGACGGGTTGTGTTAGACAGATTGTGTTAGACGGGTTGTGTTAGACAGATTGTGTTAGACGGATTGTGTTAGACAGATTGTGTTAGACGGATTGTGTTAGGCAGGTTTGGGTTTCCTTGTTCTTCGTATTGTGTAACTGATAACACAGGGAACTACACATGATGAATTCTGTGTGTTAGAATATGAAGCAGTCACTTAGTCTGCTAGTCTCTGTGAACTAGCCTGTCTCACAGTCCCTGAACCACATTATTCCTTTCCACCTACCCCCCCTGCAATGCTAAAGCCCTAAATGAAGCCAATCTTGATTCCCCAGGTCCTGAATCTCCCAGCTCACTAGGGCTCCTGTTCATTTTAAATGGGTTTATTCAGGGACTAAGCGATAGTCTATCTAAGAACCTATTGGTCTGCTTGTCTCTGAGAACCTATTGGTCTGCTTGTCTCTGAAAACCTATTGGTCTGCTTGTCTCTGAGAACCTGTTGGTCTGCTGGTCTCTGAGAACCTATTGGTCTGCTTGTTTCTGAGAACCTATTGGTCTGCTTATCCCTGAGAACCTATTGGTCTGCTTGTCTCTGAGAACCTGTTGGTCTGCTTGTCTCTGAGAACGTATTGGTCTGCTTGTCTCTGAGAACCTATTGGTCTGCTTGTCTCTGAGAACCTGTTGGTCTGCTGGTCTCTGAGAACCTATTGGTCTGCTTGTCTCTGAGAACCTATTGGTCTGCTTGTCCCTGAGAACCTATTGGTCTGCTTGTCTCTAAGAACCTGTTGGTCTGCTGGTCTCTGAGAACCTATTGGTCTGCTTGTCTCTGAGAACCTATTGGTCTGCTTGTCTCTGAGAACCTGTTGGTCTGCTGGTCTCTGAGAACGTATTGGTCTGCTTGTCTCTGAGAACCTATTGGTCTGCTTGTCTCTGAGAACCTATTGGTCTGCTTGTCTCTGAGAACCTATTGGTCTGCAAGGGATTC